TGAAAGGATGTTGCAGAATATTTGTACCATTAATAAGATCGTTAAGGGTTTGTATATTCAGCTGCACTTGCGTTCGCGTGAGATTAAACACTGTGAGGATGTCCTACAATGCATGCTGGAAAGCCTCTTGAAACGACTCGAATTGAAAAAAATTCAAATTCAGGCGATCAATGTCTTCCTGATCCGCAGTTCCAAACATAAATTTCTGAATTTTGCCCATGAATGGAAAAAATGAGCGTTTGGAGCGATGTTGGGCAAACATGCTCGTGAGCCCCTCCAATCGACTGGTTAGATGATCGTGCTTACTGCGAAACTGGATTGCATGCGATCCAATGAACTTTTCAATTGTTTTCCGGAAACGCTTCAAACTAGGGTCGGTAGAATTATGTCTCCACGAGGGTCTTTCCTTATATAATATTCCAAATATACGATTTGCCGGTCTATTTCCCCCAAATATTTCGTGATTGGCTGCATCTCGAGAGTAAACGCTATAGCCTACGTCGACTGGGTGATCGCCATGCTCCCTTTAGGCACGAAGACCGCGCCCTCCGTAGTTGCAGTGCTCCCTAACACTGTAGTAGTACACAGACACAGTCTGGAAAGAGAATACAAAGGTTTCTTAATATATTGTCCATGCCCGTGCGAGGAAACCTTTGACGGCAGGTGTACTGCAGGCATCATACGTTGTGCGATCGTGGGAGCCGTTGCTACGACATTGAAAGAGCCTTCCGGCATCTTTGTGCTATCATCTTGAAATTCTTGCGTATCCTGTCTGTCTTGCGCCTCGTCAAGTTTCACTCTTTTTGATTCTTCTGACGTGGCGCTCATCTCAACGGGTTCTTGCTGAAACTTCCTTCTCCTGGATGATCCCTGAACTAAACCCTGCTCATCATCCGTATCCTAATGTTCTGCCTCCATGTCCGGACTGGTGGCAGTGCTGCTTGCCTCAGATGGAGAGTAGATGATAGTTTCATCATCACTGTCCCCTATTTGTTAGTTGGGCTCGGACTCCTGCTGCTCAATGTCGCCTGCAGATGAATCCTCGGCCGAAGGATCCTCCGCACACGACACTGGCGGTGGCGTTTGCTGCCGTGAGTCCACATCGCCCAGTGTCTGGGGCGCCGTGGCAAAATGGCTTATGGCAGTTCGTCTTCTTCATCGAACTCACCATCGCTGCTCTCCTCGTTGTCCGGTGGATACGCCAGAGTTGCTGCTTGCTGTGGCTGACGACGCCTTCCATCTGGTCGTGCCACCTCTTCTCTCGGCTTCTGCACATCCCAACGGCTCTGGGGGTGTGCCGCACGCATATTTTCAACGTGTGCGATGACCTTCCGCTTTGTAATTTCGTGCTGGAGGAGGTATTTCTTTGGGCTTAGGACCTTAATTACTGAGTAGAAAGGGTGCCATGGCGACGATAGCTTGCGCATGGTATTGGGTCTTAATACTGGGTCGTGATAATAGACGGGGTCGCCTACTTCAAAGTTAAGCTGCTTAGCACGCTTGTCATAGTAATATTTGTTCTTAAGACGTGCTAGGCGCGTTCTATCTCTAACGTGCGCGTATGCCTGGTGCAACCGTTCTGACGTCTGCGCAATTGGGTCCTCGTCATATCTCTTTCTCCTTGGATTGAGGAGACTGTCAAGAGCCAATGTTGCTTGTCTTCCATACAGAAGGTGGAATGGCGTATATCTTGCCTTGTCATGCACGCCCATTCTGTATGCAGCAAGCAAAAGTGGGATTTTCAGGTCCCAGTCTGTCTGCGAGCAGTTCACATAGCTTCATAGCATAGAGTTGAGTACTCGGTGCCATCTCTCATTTGCTCCGTTGCTCGCAGGGTGGTATGGAGCGACCTTTATGCCGTTGATGCCTAACAATTTTGTCAGCCTGTCGAGAAGCTTGTTATCGTATTTCAGTCCATTGTCTGATAGCAAGATTCGTGGTGCACCATGTCGTGGAAATATTTCTGTAGCGAGAAGGTTTGCTACTGTTTCGGCCGTTTTGTCCTTCACCGGAAACACTTCAGGCCATGAACTGTAGAGACAGTGGAAGTGTATGAGGTATTTGTTGCCTCGCTTGGTGAGAGGGAATTGACATGTATCAACCGCTATGACGTCCATGGGCCCTCCTGGTAGAGGTGTCTCTCCCATTGGTGAACGTATGTGCTGCATTTTCCTGGAGTTGCAGGGAATGCATGATCTGATGTGAATATCAGCGTGCATTCCTGGCCAGAAAAATCTTGTCTTGATCTTGCTATAGGTTTTGTCAAATCCCAGATGTCCAGAATAAATGTCGCCATGAAGCGCTGTCATGATCTCCTTGCGGAACATGTGTGGAATAACTACCTGCATGCTGGACGCTTGATCACGCGTGGGTGGTGTTACATGGTGCAAGAGTCCTGCTTCATCAATCGATGTAATTCGATAGGATTTGCAGCTCCTTATTAGCGGTCGTTGGTTTCACTAATGCTTGAATAATGTTGTGCCTGCTGTCTGCTCCTTTCTGATCTCATGCAAGTTTAAAACAGGGCGTGTTTGTTGGATGCCTGCTTCGGTTCGCTGTGCCGGGTGCTGTTGCGTGCTGCTGTTGGGTTCTGCCACCCTCTTCTCGCTTGTCTCATGGACATCTGGCTCCGTTTTCTCCTGAGTTGTTACATCTGCTCCATCTGCATCGATTTCCATGTCGACATCAATATCGATGCTTGGCATCTGTGATTCTATTACTGAAACCTGGACTTTATCGTGCGTTGGTATTACCGAGGTAGCGTCGCTGATGGGATCTTGTCCTTTTATTCGAGATAGTGCATCCGCATTTCTGTTGGCTATGCCACTTCGGTATTCCATCGTGGCATTGTGCTCTGATATTACTAGTGCTCATCGCTGCAGTTTTGCATTCTTGAGGTTAGGGCTCGTTAACATATATTTTAAAAGTTTGTGATCACTGACGATAACGAAGTGGGCACCTGCTAGATAGTGTCGCAGCTTTTGCAAGGCATAGACAATGGCATAGGCCACCTGCTCTATGACCGGCCAACGCATTTGACCTTGGTTAAGTTGTCAGCTAACATATTGAATGACTGTTTCCTTGTAGTCCGCATTCGTTTGCGTGAGAACTGCCCCAACAGCATATGACAAGGCGTCTGTAAATAATTAGTAGCTTTTGTGCGTATCTGGATATGCCAATATCGGTGCTTCGACTAACTTCTGTTTTAATATACGAAAAGTTTGGTCCGCATCGTCATCCCAGGTAAACTTAGCGAATAAAGGTATGTGAGCCCTATAGTAGCTAGTCATTCCAGGAATAATCTGACCTCCTTCACTGTTGTAGGTGGTCTCAGCTGTGTAATGACTCGGACCTTTTCTAGGTCGGGTTCTACCCCCTCAGGTGAGATTACGTGACTTAGATACTTAACCTTGCTCTTCAAGAACTCACACTTTCGACTTGAGCTGTGCACACCGTAGCCTATCAAAGACTTATGCGATGTCAGCTAGGTGTTGTTCGAGTGTTGGGATATAGATCACAATATCATCGATGTAAGGGATTGCACATCGGTGGTGTAGGGCCGTAGGCCGTCCAGAACGGTATCTAGTAGGCGCTGATAGACGCTAGGTGCGTTACAAAGCCCGAACAATAAAAAATTAAAATGCAAGGCGCATGGTATGTAGTAAAGCAAGTCTTAGGGTTATCTTCTTCTGCCATTGCTACTTGGAAATATCCTGATTTTAAATCCAAGGTCGTATAAAACTTTGATTTTCCCAATGAGCCTAAGATATCTTGGATGCAGGGTAAGGGATACGTGTCCCGAACCGTTATGCGCTTAAGCTGCCTATAGTCTATTACCATCCTTCCCTCGGGCTCGTCCTTTTTGGGTACGATGAATGCGGGGCTCGCCCATGGACTATTACTTGGTTCTATTATTTTTGCCTCCAAAAGCTGGTTTACATGGTGATCGATCATGGGGCAGTAATTGATTGGCGTTCGATATGGCTTCTGTCTTATTGGTGATTGGTCCCCGTCTCTATTTTCAATTTCACCAGGTTAGTATGGCCTAGATCAAGGTTAGATTCAGCAAATAAATCAGTGTTCTCCCTCAAGTGCTCCTCTATGGCCGTTCATGCTTTCCCTGTAATATGGTTAAGGTTGACCTTGGGTAGCCCGCACGGTGACCTGTTTCCCTGTTTAACTGCAGCCTTCCCTTTATTTTCTGTATTAGTAGTGAGGATAGCATCTATCTGTGAATTCGCAGATGAAATTTGATCGTTATCCAGTGTCGTGACTAGCGCTATAACGCTATTCTTCTTAAAGGAATATGTTACATCTGTAGAGTTTACTAAAGAAAACTTAACGCAATGCCCCTTGTTAACCGTATCTACTGTTTCCATTGTAAATATGCCTGGCTGATCCCTAAACACTGGTAGCGCATCTGTTCCTGTTATTAGTACTGTATAATTAACTGGAACTGCCTTCCTTACCTTGCCCTCACACACCTTGACTGTTCTTGGTGGTACCTGCGCCCTAGATTTCAATAGCAGCTGCATGCCTTGATTACTATTTTTTCCAATAAAATCTGTCTTGAGAGATACTACCGATTTTCCTATTGATGATATGCCCTTCTCGCAGTCTATTTTCACCCCCTCTGCTCGCATAAAGTCATAACCCAAAATTGTTGGTTTGCTTAAGCTAGTAACTATCAAAAACGGGAATCTGGTGCGATGTCGGCCTATGGTTACGGGTAGGGTAGCTTCCCCCACCACTTCTAATGGGTGTCCAGTTACTGATGTCAACACGTGATTTCGTTTAGTGGAGAGCTAGCTACTGCGCCGCGTTTGCTTCACCAGCTGCTTCCATAACGTTTCGCTGATTAATGTGCTTTACGCTCCCGAGTTTAATAGACAATGTGTTGCTATCACGCCTATTTTTAGAGAGCATAACAGTGCTGCTCTCTGTTCACTACTTGTAGTGACAATCACCTCCCGTGATTCCTGTCTAAATTCAGGAGACTTTTTGCTGCTTGCCCGACTCTTTGTCTCGCTTAAAATCGAGCGGTCACGTTTCCCTGCCGCGTTGCTCGACACTGACGCCATCTATGGCCTATCCGACCACATGCTGCGCATACTGGCTTGTTATCCGCCGTCCACCGATAGTGGTAACCCTTTGGCGGTCCAGATGCGGTTGTCTGACCCGACTGGTGTTGGCCTCTCAGCTGGTTGCTGACGGGTGTCTGCTGCCATGCCGCAGTGGGGTACGGCCTGCGTTGAGCTCCTAGCTGTCCTTGCTGTGCCATGCGTGGCGCCTGCTGTTTCCAGGTCGGCTGTCTAGGCTGATAGTCTTTAACCGTGGCTCGTGTCTGCGTTGAGCTTGGCCTTGGCACTGCCCGTGGCGGTCGGTTTACCCGTGCCGCCGGCTGTTCGCCTGCTTGTGGATGTTGTAATTCCATTATCTCCGACACCACTCCTCTCAACTCTTCTATCTGGCGCTGAATCGTAGGTGTTGCTTCGACGCCATCTATCTCCATGGGCTCCGCTTCTTGGTAGGGAGCAGAGCGCAGTTTAGCCTCCTGCTCTATAGCAGCTTTGCCCGACGCGACTGCCACTGCCTTTTCAATGGTCTCCGGGCGGCATCGAACTAGAGTTCTCTTTATAGTTTTCCTTCTGAGGCTATCGATGAATTGTTCCACGATCCGATTTTGGAGGTGGGTATCTTGCCATGCGTAGGCAGCACACGCTACTCTCGCACTAGCTTCCAATCTCCTTGAATACGCAGCTACCGTTTCATGCCACGTTTGCTTCTCCCACTTAAATCTTTGCAAAGCCACTGCTGTTTGCGAAGTATCTGTGTACTTGTTTCTCAGCAGTAAACCTAACTCCGACCAACCCATTCCAGGGTTTCTGCTCATTAGAGATGCTGCATAGTCAGCTGCGTCTCCACCCAGCAATCTAAGTGCCAACCGAGCTTTTCGATGGTTATCATTTTCATTCATAATAATTCCTAATCTTTCCAAATTTCGCATCCAAGTGCTGAAGGAGATTTTCGTTTTCTCATCACCCGTGAACACCTTAAACGAACCTAATACCACCAATGCCTGTACCACCTTGATTAACATCTCCATTTGCGACACGTGGGGTAGCGGATCGTGATTAGGCGGTTCCCCTGCCCTGGTGGCTGATGGGGTTGCTCCTTCGGTTGATTATTCATGCTTAGATATGAAACGATACTACTATTAATTACTATTAAACCCAAAAAAATGTTTCTGAGCACAGCCTATGTTGTACTTACAATAGTAGAGTAAGAATCATCGCTTCAGATGTGATTCCCCGTCGACTGAAGAGGTTGCCGGCGCTGCTGATGGTAGATAACAGCGATATACTGCTTCGGTATAGCTCCGTCCTGTTAATTATGTCCAGATGTGGAATGCGCGCTCGCCTCAGGCTATCGTGCGTGCTGCTGTCGCCCGATGCTGCACGATGCCGCACGCTGCTGTCGCTCGTGCGTGCGTGTTGATGCGGTGATGTTGGTGACGCTGACGCCCACGCTGATGATGACGGGACTTTTATCGACGTTGACGTAAATACTGATGACGACGGGACTTCTATTGGCGTTGACGGAAATGTTGATGATGTCTCTACGGTGATGACGTTGCTGGATGAGACGGCGTCCACGCTGCAATATCGCTGCCGCGCTGCTGCGCTGCGAGGTCACTGCCCGCTAAAGATGGCCGGCTTGTTAATACGCACTTTTGCAGGCTCGGCAGAGGGCGAATAGCAACGACGGTGATGCCGCTATCTCTCTGCTGCTACTGTTACTTGGCTGCTGGCCGGCTGTTCTAGCGGTATCTGTTTCTTATTAATACGTGATTTCACTTTCTGTCTCCGCTCCCGCCGCTGACTTTCCTTCTGCACGATCCTTGTCACCAGGCTATCAATAATGTACAGGTGTTCTAGACGGTTCGTGAGATACGTTGGGAGATATCCGACTGTGTGTAAGCACGTCATGATCGTATAGCCGTTAAATTAATCTCTACTTGCGGTGTTATTGTGCTTGAGTTGTGTCTTCACCTGTTCCCTATCGCGCTGGCGTAAACGTTGCCTATTTGAAGGAAATCGTCAACCAAGGTGTCGATGTGTCCGGTGCGGCGCGAGTAAATTAGACACGAGATAGAAGAATGAAACACTACTTATGATCTTTATTTACTTGCGCACAAATCACGTGCTAGTCGTACAAGTAGCTAGAAGAAATCACGTAAAGATATTACTTGATGTAGATAACTATGTGGCTACAACGGCGAGTATAAGTATAAGCCGCACGACACGTAGGAAGTAGAAAGGAGGGACCGTGTGTTTTTTTCCAAGGG